TAGAATCCAAAAATATGTCAAAGAGCAAGTCTTGCAAGTGGTGGCTATCATTTGCAAGCGAAGCATTTTGGGAAATTCACAAACAATCCAAGAGTCTTTGCTGAGAGATGTTACTCAGCTTTTGACTAGCAATAATAGGGACATGGTGGGTATTAACATAACTTATTAAATGTTTATTGAGTCAGATTACATTCTCATAAAAGAGTGTGCTGTACAGTGAATATACAACTCAACTGATCCTCCCCAAGGCAAAACCTCTAGACTTTGTATCAATAAGTAACTGAGTATTAAATTAGACATTATCTGAGGCTTACTCTGTTTACCATTATAATTCCTTTTCATCCAAACATGAATTTAAGCTAAAGCTTTAGCATTTTCACACTTCACGATGGACACGTCCTGGATACAGTCTGTCAACATTCTAGAGACATTTAATGCGTACCATTAGCGAATTTGTAAGTTAGATTTCTGCTTCGACAATTTCCACATCTTTCGATTTTCGCGATCTGGTAAAGGGGAAGTTGATGTGTATCGTTTTATTTTAACATAGTTCAGATCACTATTTCGTGCATGATGATGCATCAATGGCGAGGTGTGACAAGGGATCGAGACAAAAAAGCAAATGGTGATCTGAACTATATTTGGACATAAAACAGAATGTGCCGCAGCATTNTTAAGATAACTTATTAAACGTTTATTGAGTCAGATTACATTCTCATAAAAGAGTGTACTGTACAGTGAATATACAACTCAACTGATCCTCCCCAAGGCAAAACCTCTAGACTTTGTATCAGTAAGTAACTGAGTATTAAATTAGACATTATCTGAGGCTTACTCTGTTTACCATTGTAATTCCTTTTCATCCAAACATGAATTTAAGCTAAGGCTTTAGCATTTTCACACTTCTTGATGGACACGTCCTGGATACAGTCTGTCAACATTCTAGAGACATTTAATGCGTACCATTAGAGAATTTGTAAGTTAGATTTCTGCTCTGACAATTTCCACATCTCTCGATTTTCGCGATCTGGTAAAAGGGAAGTTGATGTGTATCGTTTTATTTTAACATAGTTCAGATCACTATTTCATGCATGATGACGCATCAATGGCGAGGTGTGACAAGGGATCGTGACAAAAAAGCAAATGGTGATCTGAACTATATTTGGACATAAAACAGAATGTGCCGCAGCATTACTATCTTTTAGATACCCTAGTAATAAAGTAGAGAGTACAGAAATTGCACCTTCGGATTGTTTGAAACAGCATGCTTTGTCAGAATACAGATGCAAGCTATGGCAAGCTGAAGTTCAAATTTTTGCCTCAGCATTTGACTCAAATTAAACGTCCTCTATGACTCAGACAAACAAAATGACAACAAGCTTTTTATCTGCATTAAACATAGCTGCATGAGTCATTTGGAGAAACACTCGACTACATCTTGTGTTTGCCCCTAACACTTCTTTCATGCTCTCCCACTTCTGCATGTTTTACAACAGAACAGAGCACAGTCAAGGCTTCTTAATTTGTTAATTAGAATTTTGTTTTCATATCATTGCCAAATCTGTTCTTTAAAAAAGTGTGGAAATTCCAAATGCCATTACTAAACAAAGTGAAAAGGGTTTTTTATTATTCTCATCAACCTGTGACATCACTAGGTTATCTTAGAAATCTTGTTCTTGCTAAAGCAAAGGAATTCTATGCCACTAATATTTTATAACTGATCTGAAGCTTATTGTTTTCGTTTGTAGCAAATTTTGGGTTGCTTGATCCTAAAGGCTTTATTGAATGAGTTTGCATTCCTGACACGCAGTAGTGACATTGGCTTGAGTTGGGAATTCCACGTCCGTTGCAAGAAAGCTTTTGAGGTATGTATGACAATCTTAAAGGGATTTACTGTTAATATTCTCAGAACAATTTTTGCCATATTTAGTTCCTGGAAGTGACTATAACAATAGTTTGATTTTATTCAGCAGGGCCCAAATGTTCAAAGGGTTGACAATGCTATCCGTATAGTACTATCTTTCTTTCTCAAAGATATTAGCTCAGTAAAGCTTCTCTGATTATTTCAGTTGAAATAAAGTGTATTTGTATGTATGGTAATATGTATCTAGTGCTTAAGAGAAAAGAAAAAGAAAACAAACTATGCTGTCCACTGGTAGTGATCTATCATAATCTAGTGGATAAAGAAGTACTTACCTGTGACAGACCTCTATGAGGATAATGCAAGTGATTTGCATACGACAGTTTAGGCACTGTTTTGTTGTGAATTCTCGGCAGTAATGGGCTTTTCTCTGTAACAGGTGCAGGTTCTTCAACAAATCTTCATGCTGGTGGTACAAACTTTGCAGCAGTCCTTACTCACAGAGTTGAGCCTGCTATCTCCTGAAGACATTTCAGCATTGGTTCGATTGTTGTCTTTGGCAGAACAGATCCTGAACTGGGATTTTTCTCACTATCATATCCTTTTAGTTGTTAGCATGTGCTTGCTGAAGTTACTGGACAATGGCCACCTATCATTGTATGGCATAAAACTAGAGAGGTTTAATTGTAGTGTCAAATATTGCACTGTTGATAGATACACTGTACTGGTCACATGTTTTCATGTGTTCATGAATGGCAGGAACATGTTGAGAGAATAGATACAAAAACATCACCATGATGATCATCATCGTTGTCATCCTCATTGTCATTGGCTCTATAGTGACTCTTTAACCACTGACTAGTTTGTAGAATTAAAATGTGGTGAAAGTTTGTGTCCTTATATCAGTGAAAGACAATATGATTGTTTGTATTCATGAGGTGGACAAACCATTGTTTTTCCGGCAAATGCTTATTAATAGAGGTTTGAAGTTGTCCTTCAATAGCATTATGGAATAGATAAATATATTGATTTAATTGAGGCCTTGAGCTACTGTATTTTAATTCCAAGCCAAATTTGTTGTTTTAACCGCTTTATCACTTAAACTCATTAGCTATTGTCCATATATTTACACTCATTGTCCTTAATATATTCTATCATTCACGTCACCTACACCACTTTCATATCACACACTATGGAATATTTTCTTTCATTCTCTGATGCTGCCGTAGAACAGCGAAGGCTTGGAATTAAAATACAGTAGCTCAAGGCCTCAATTGAATCAATATATTTACTTATTAATAGAGTTTTATTCTGAATACAAAGAAAGTCTTTCTTCCTTGACTAACTCACATCACAAAAGATGTCCTCTGTTGGGGGAGATGGCACCTGTGACTTTGTTTAAACCAGGTTCATCTTGGAGAGAACTTCTCTTTGACCCTGCACTAGTGGAGCTTTTTTTCAAGGTACAAATTTTATGCTGTGACACTTCAAAAGTACATCTTCTTTAAGACTGAACAAAACCTTGAAATAATAGGTTGCAAACCCAGGAGAAACTTCAAAGACACCGTAAGAGCTACATGTAATGATATTTTACTAAAAACAAACAAGATTTTAAGATTGAGAAAAGAAAAAAAATCCTATCAAGGCAGGGAACATGCCACTGTGTATGAAACTCATGGACAGACCATTATTTTTTTGAGGAGGTAGCAGTGGGTTATTTCCAAAAAAGATAATTCCTACACAGCAAAAACAGTCCAAAGTGAGTATTATAAGAAATGTTAAATGTAGAAATGACATCAACTCGCAAAAAATCTGAGTTCCAGATGGGATTTGAATCCATGACCCTCTGTGATCACCACAGAGTTTCCAGTAGCTCAGTGGTTAGAGCGTCTGGCTAGATCATGGAGGATTGTGGGTTCAAATGCCATCTGGAACTCGGACTTTTTTCCGAGTTGATGCCATTTCTACATTTAACTACAAAAACTGCTGAAAAAAAAGGCAAAGGGAGCCATGGCTGGGGGAAAAAAGGAGCAAGTGCTTTCTTCAATCCAGGTCCTGTGTTTGACTTCAAAACAAATTCTTGCACAAGCTATTTCCCACCAAAAATATCATGCACAACCTATGTGTGAGAAAAAAATTTCATGCTCCAAAAAATTGTCCAAACCTCCTCCCTCAAAAATATAATGGTCTGTCCCTTTGCATACAATGAATATTGCAAGTAGCCTGCAGTATTATTGTCAGCTGTTTCCACCTCAATTGACTGACTGCCACCAATGCAACTTGCCATAAGAACTGTTGACAGACTGACTTTATGGAAGAATGCTGAACAAATAGAACAAAGCTTGTTCATATGAATGTTTTTCCTTGTAGCTTCAGGTGAAGTTGCAGGCAAATGATGAGTTGTGCCACCATTGTGGTCAGTGCTTAATCCAGCTTGCTTCTCTCTGTGGTGCAGTACTCCCAGATACAATATCACAAACACACTATTTATCCAATTTTGTGCAAGGATTTTTACAGCTTTCAAAAAGGTGAGTACAGCTGTACTTTTAGTTCAACCATTGCATTGTAATTGAGGGGGCATGGCGTGGTGACCTAATGATTAGTGCATTGGACTTGGGATCAGGAGGTCTGTGTTAGAGTCTTGGCTGGAGTTGTTATGCTGTGTTCTCTAGCAAGACACTTTGCTCTCACAGTGCCTCTCTCCATCAAGGTGTGATGGGCACCTGCAGACTACCAGACTACCAGGTTAACCCAACACAATGCTGGGGGGAGGGGGGGTGGTGGGGACCCACACTGCTCAGCATCCCATCTGTAGGGGGTAGCAAGATATCCAGTTGCTTCATGTTAAAAAAATCAGAATAAGTGGGCCACCTTTCTGAAGAATACATTTTACTTAAATAATTTATTTGTTAAGATAAGGTAAGGTGTGTGTCAGGCAGTGGTCAGCTGGAGCAAATGTATTTCCACTCCTACTGCATTGGATACTATACTGAATAACAAGCCTGATTCTTCAAGCAGCTTTGAAATCTGAAAGAACTGAATGCTTTGTAAAGGATGAAGATAGCAATAAAAGTTTCTCCAAAACTGAATATTTCTTTGTTATGTTTTGTTGTTTTCCTTTAGCCTGGAGATGAATGGACAAGCGGCATTGGGCCTCGGAAGCATTGTGAACCGTCTTCTCTACGTTTTTCCTTGTTCAGCATTCAAAGCCATACACATTGATACACTTCGATTATTCACAAATGCCATGACAGACTTGACATGTTCGTTTTTACAAGCAGTTGCCAAGGAGGAAGAAGTGAGTGATGAAAATGGCTTCAAGAGTTTATTAGTCCACTATTCCTATCCAAATAAACTTTTTTGAGACACTATCGAGAGACAAGTTTTTTGTCCTTATAGTTACAAAACCTTTATTTGAGAATCAATCCAATATCTTTAGATTGTTGTGAAGGACAATGCAGTAGAGAAATGATTCCAATAGGTCATTTCTGAATTACCTTCAGCCTCTTTCTCAAAGCAAGTCCTAGTGACCCTTCTTTCATATGAACATGACATTTCATTCACATGCGAATGAAGCTCATTTTCATAGGAATGGTTGTACACCAGGCCTCGCCTTGATACAGAAGCTTAAGGCAACTTGGAAATGGGCTATTTTGATATTACTGTTCAAGTAAATATGCGCCATGCTGGTGGGGTGATTTAGTAATTTGACAGCCAGGGCAGTTACAAGAAAATTTTAAGCATTAATATATAACCAAACTCTTTCCAAGATGTATTTTTTAAAGATTTTGCATTGCAGGTAGATAGGTCTGGAGCTTGCATTGTTCTTATTTACTTAGATTTACATTCAATTGATAAGCTGATTTTGTAGTCGGGTTTTGCTTAGTTTTTCATTTCTCTAAATGCCTCCTTGCTTCCAGCTTAACTCAGAAGACACAAGCTTTATAGAAGCTGTTGAACAATTCCTGGAGGGATGGGCCAGTCTGTTGGAGCACTTTAAACAGTTTCCAGCTGGACTTTTCAATGAAAGTGCTACAAGGATATTAAACTGCTATGTTCAGTGTCACTTGGCTGCTCCAGATGGCTTGCGTGGGACGTTTTCACCTCAAGTCAGCAATGGCATTCATCTGGATGAGATCTGCGATCTTGATAGTGATGACAGAGAACTCTTTGCTGATCAGTTGTCTACTATCGGAAGTTTTGGTCGTATTGTACCTGGTCATGCTCTTAACCTCCTGACAAAGTTGTTGGAAAGTAGGGCTGGTCAGTTTGAGAGGTATCTTTCAGCTGTCAAAAATTCTGCAGGTATGTCCTGTAAAGCCCAACATGAATGATGTTCAAATACCTTATGAAACCCCTGCCACTCACTCCCTTATGAAAATCTAAAATTCAGTCGTTACTGACAGTTGCCCACACTGTTTAGGCTTACAATTCACCAGTGCCCATTTATACTCCTTTGGTGAAGAGAGGCTTTTTAATTCTAAGAGTAAAGTGCCTTTCCCATGAGCACAATACAGTTAATCCAGCTATTGTAGTTTTCAAACCTAGACCTCAGGGCCCAGAGTTTAATATGGTAAACATTTGTCCACTGCTCCTTCAACAAGCAATTAAACGAAGACAGAATGATAGACAGACTGACGGAGAAACAGACAGACAGACAGACAGACAGACAGAAAAACTGACTGACAGACAGACAGACAGACAGAAAAACTGACTGACTGACTGACTGACAGACAGACAGACAGACAGACGGAGGGACATTGCAATTCTTACTGGCCCAAAAGTTTTTATGATAGTTTATTTGTTAGATCTTGAACACCGCATTTTACATCTTGTTTGTAGGGTCTATCTCCTCTGAATTGTCAAGTGCGGATAACCTGTATGAGGACCTTCATTGGCTTCTTCTGATTTCTGGCTATCTGCTTGCTGATGAAAGCATAGGCGAGACACCGCTCATTCCTCAAGAAATTATATCATATTCATCAAGTTTAAAAAGTCAAGTTGATATTCAGGCCACTTTTCAGACTCTTTGTGCATCACAAAATCAACATCAAGGCGAATGTTATGGTAGTATTTGTTTTACTACTTTGCTTAAGGTTATTACCCAGTATTGCATTGCGTATCCCTACTGCGCATAATTTCATGCGTGATTAGCACG